TTTGTGTGTTTACTCGTTGATGTTTTGAAAATTTAAATTTGTTGTTTTATATTCATAACTTTATAATTATACATTAAAGTTTATGATTGTTAAAGTGTGTTGTATCGACTTTATAATTAAAAAAATGTTTGATATTTTGTAGTTATGCTTTGTTTTTTTGTTTGTAAAATCATCATTTTCAATTACAAAAACAAACGTTCATTGGTCATAATGTGATGTTAATAAATTGACATTTTAACAACTATATTGTTTTTTGTATTTGAAATACAATTATATTGAAATAATTTAAATATTGAAATAATAATAATAAATTAAATTTGTTACCTAAAGTTTGGCTTAAATTTCCGTTGTTTGTTTTAATGGGTCTTTTTATTTTTAAATGTTATAAAATATTTTTTTACATATTACAAATACAGAAAAAACCAGTGACCAAATCACAAACTAGGGACCAAACCAGTCTTTCTCAAATTTTGGTTATAATGGTAGGTCAATTAAAAAATAATCTGAAACAACAATATTTTCCCAAAACTGTTTTATATTTTTTTAAGAAGAAAACAATACCACATTATAATAATTGCCGCCAAGAAAAATTTTATAGTTAAAAATTATAATATAAAAACAACAAATTATTTTTCAAAAAAACTATAATTTTATAATTTCAGTTATTAATGTAGTAAATTACAGAAAATGGCATTATCAAAAATATTGAAAATCTTACATTTAAAATAACTAATATTTCGGGAAATTAAAAATAAACTATCAAAAACAACAACCATTGTTTAAATAGATAATAATTATCAATAATAAACTGTTTTCCAAAAGTCGGTACCGAAATTACCCCAATATTTGCTAAATAAACAACCCATTTTTTTTCTTTTCTTTTACCTCTGTTTTTTATTCATTTTTCTTCGTCTAATTTTTCAAATAACTGTCTTCCACTTTTATCTTTTCTCGAACAAACAAAATATTCGCATTATTTTTCCCTCCAAATTTCTAAATAACTTTCTTCAACGAAAAAAAGACTTGACAAAATAATCGATTTTGCCGAAAAGTTAGAAACATTAATTTTGAAACCCAAAACAATTTGAATAACAAAAAAAACTAAATAATCATGTCTAAACCAAGAAAAAGTTATGAACGCGAGCAAGAAGGGAAGAATGAGAGGGTCAAGATGGCTTTGGAAAGAGGACTGTCATATCGCGAGATCCAACTGCTTTGTGGAGTTTCCAAAACAAAAATAGCTAGTATCAAAAGGGGAGAGGAGACAAAGCCAAAGAAGATGGGAAGACCAAAAAACATCAGTGTTAATGTTGCTCAAAGTGTTGTCACACGAACATTAACTAACCCATCTTCTTCTTGTCTTATGGTTTCCAACGATGTTAAAGTTTCTCTTTCAAGTGTCTATCGTCTTAGAAAAGAGAACAAATTTGTGTTTGCAAAGCAGAAAAAAATGCCGGCTCTGAAACCATTACACATAACAAAAAGACTTATTTTTGTTAAGAAACAGCTGGCAAACGCAAAGCGTATTTTGACGTGGACCAAAAACACTCTCATTTCCGACGAGAGTCGTTTTTGTTTATACTCTGACGGAAAATATGTTTGGAGAAGACGTGGAGATCTTGATAAGGAGGCGTTTGTGCCAACTCCCAAGTTCAATCGGGGTGTGATGGTGTGGGCAGCAATTGGGCGTCATTTCAAGTCAAAACTCGTTTTCGTCGACGGAACACTGAACGCGGTAAACTATCAAAAAATGTTGGCCGAATCAAGAGTGTTTGAAAACGCGAAGAAGGTGTACAAACACGGGATGGTGTTTCAACAAGATGGTGCAAGACCCCACACAGCGAAAAACACAATTGAATGGTTTGAAGGCTTGGACCCGAAGCTCATGGTTCGACTACTGAAAGAATGGCCTGCAAATAGCCCCGACCTCAGCCCAATTGAACACTTATGGCAATACTTGGACACCTTAGTAAGAAAAGAAAAGGAAATCTTCGAGAACATTGAAGAACTCAAAGAGGCTCTTGAAAGGGCTTGGGATTCAATACCTCTTGAGACAATTGATAACTACATAATGTCGATTCCAAAGAGGTTTGAATTGTGCAAGGAAAACAACGGCGAATTTATCGGACACTTGCTTTAATCCGTTATCAATTTTTTTTTATTTTTTTCTTTTTGAACTCGTTTTATCATTTTTTTGTTCGTCTTCAGAGGATGTTTGTTTGTTTTTTTATATGTATTCAAATTGTTTTCATTATTTTGACTCGAAAAGAAATAACTGTCTTAGAAAAATTGCAAAAGACTTCCCAACGTTTCGACAAATGCCCGAAAAATTACGAAAATAATATAATTTGTTTGTTTTTTTAGGTCAAAAAAGTCGGTACCGTTTTTTGTTTTTTTAAAAAAGATAAATAATAAAACAAAGTCTTTAATAACAATAAAACGGGAAAACAGCTAATAATAGTTTCTCAATTTTTAGCGGTAGTACTTACTTTTGAAATACAGTTTATAATATTGGTTCATTTAATTAAAAACAATCATAAAAAAGTTAAAAAAACAAAAACACAAGTATATTTTTATATATTAAAACATTGAAACATGTATTTTTGAGAATATAAATGATCTTTATGATAAAAAAATAAATAACATATTTCAAAAATGATAAAATTTTCAAAAAATAATATATGATTTAATAAAGTATAACAAAATATAAATTAATTAACAATTTTGACGAAACTACAAAAAATGAAAATTGTCTAAAATATAAATAAAAAAATTTTTAATTTACAGTTTTAAGCAAAAACAGTGCAACTTTTGCAAAAACGGGGTGACTGAGTTAAAAAAGAGGGGGTTCTTAAAATAAATTTATTTTTTTTTATAGAAAATTAATAAAATTAACTTTTCGGATACATAACCGAGTTTTGTAATTGTGGTTATGTTACCTCATAAACAATCAATTGCGACCACTTGATGTTTGTTTTTAAATTGAAAATGATGATTTAGCAAACATAAAATAAAACAAATAAGAAAGTTATCAAACTTATCATTTGATTAATTTTTTAATAAATATAACACAATTCAAGAATAAAAAACTGTTTTATAGCATTTGAAACAATCAACTAATAATAACAAATTTGGACTTTTAAATTTATTAATAAAAACCACAAAACGCAGCGAATGTTCAAAAAGTCTTGTCATATTTTCAATCCACCATTCAATTGAATCAATCTCTATGTGAAAGTGTCAATATGTAAAATCAGCCGAGATCGATTATGGTCATAACTTACAGTTTTAATATGCAAGATTTCTGGATATAATTTCTAAATAAAAGTCTTATTATTTAAATCGAATTTGTGTCCTGTTCGCAAGTTATATAAATTTTAAAAAAATAAAAGTACAAACTAATAATATGTGGTTGTTTTTAATAAAATATATTCAATTTTATTGAGACAGACTCTTTTCTGCCAACTCTAAAATAATCATTAAAAAACAAAAAAGTCATATAAAGCGTATTTAATAAGTGCTAGTTTTTGTTTGACAAAACAAATAAATAATGTCAGTAATAACAAATAAAAATAGTGTCATTTTTGTAGTGTTTACTGAATGAACCAAAATCAAAAATTGTAGTTGATATTAGCATAAAACAACACGTTTCAAGTTATAGTGAAAAAGTATTAAAATGGTTGTAATAAATTACAACAATTGAAAAGACGTTATGCGTCGCTTTTAGAGACAGATAGAAGCTGATTAAAGTTTTAAAAAAGAATAATTGTTGATACATTAAATAATGTCAACAATGAAAAATAATTAATTATTATGCAACTTAAATTTAAAAAATAAAATAAAAACGTATAAATTGTAATTGACATTAAACTGATACATTACTGTTAATGTAAAACACAAAAATATAAATTACACACCAAATAAATTAATAAAATAGCATTGATTAATAAAATAGTTTGATTATTTGTTGTTTGAAAAATCACAAACATAGTTATTTTTCATTATACATTTTAAACACTCTTATTAATAAATTATCGAAATGTGTAATTATATACATCAATATGTCAAGAGTCATCAACAAATAATTTGTAAAACGGTTCATATTTTTTACAATGAGTCAAACAACAACACAAAGAAATATATGGATTATATGTAATTAAGGGAAATTTTTGTTTAAAGTAATAATATATTTGACATTTAAACCATTTAATGATTGCTTTTTTATTATTAATTCTTTTGATAAAAATTCTTCAATAAATTTGTTGCTTCTATATAAATATTAAAAGGGTAAAATTAATAACAAACAGACTAAGGTGTTGACAAACTTGCTACATCATATTTTTTTTAAAAAAAAGAACAAACATGGTAGATACACATTTTTTAAAAAAATGGTAACTTGAAAATTTTCAAATTATTACAACTATTGTAAGTACATAAATTTTATACTGTTTATATTAATTATCACTGAAGCGTCCATTTTCTTTTTGCAATATCTGTTTCGTTTTCAACAAAACTGATATTGTGTTTTCTTTTATATTGTATTATGTATAAAAACATATTTGTTGTTTCAGAATAAATTTTATTGCATTTTCACCATTATTTTTATTTTTCCATTTTTTACTTTTTGCCAAAAAATATTTTTTTTTATTAATTTGTTTTTTAGTTCACGATTTGAACTCGTTATTTTATTTTCATTTTACTATAATTGAACTACAATGTATAATATATTTTTTTCAAAAGAACAAAAACACTGCTCTTTTTAACAATATTGGTTTGTTGGGGATTAAATACATCGGCGAGTGATATTTAATTTAAATTTTATTTCATTTATTAATAAAATTATAATTAAGTCTAGTTTTTTGTTAAATAGAAAACAGACTTTATTTTAAAAAAAATCAAGTACTTTTTGCTGACTATATATTGCTTTTGAATCCTTGCCACTTTGTGGACAAGTGGAATTTTTATTAAAATAAAATAATCGTTTTGCAAACAGACATGTTTTATATTTCAGTGTCCTGAGTTTTGTTGGTTATTTTCCAAACGTCGTGTGAGACATAATATCCAATAAAATCTTCCTCTTTTAATGCGCTTTTCAAATGTTCTCTACTTGGGTTCAATGTGGTGCAGTGTCTGCACCTCACAGTGTTACACTTGTTACACACAATGACTAAGGAATTGATACCAGTTATCACAACATTACCACATTGACAGACAAAAGGGAATTCGTCCTTATTTTTGAAGTATTTATTGAGATCCTTTTTGTTAAAATCAACTTGAATGAATGAATCTTCTCGCAGTGAATTTTCGGTGAAGAGTGGACATCCATTCCCAAAATGGTTATATCCGCTGATTTCCTTTCCACACAAGTAACAGAAATACGCCCCACAAATGCATGTGATTTTGTTACATCCATAACTCTTCAAAACAGGTGCGCGACACCTTGGGCATTTTTTAATTCCTCCAAATTCAATAGATTCTTGGACTATTTTCCTGTACTTTTGGCTTCTAAAATACTTTGCATTGAACCACGGCCGGTCGACATTTTGATGAATTTCTTCTTTGTCTTCTTTTTCCTCTTTTTTTGTGTCTTTGCCATAACAACTCCCAACGTGATTTCCCTGCAAACAAACAGAACAAAATACCGACTGGCAAATGGGGCACTTAATTGGCGTCGGATGAGTGAAGACTTCTTTGTCGACTAAAATCCCTCCACTCTTACAAAACGGACAACTAAGACTTTCTCCTCCTTTTTGGACAAATAGAAGTGTCAGTTGCTTCTCATACTTTAAGACTAATTCGGGATCACAAATACCACGAAGTTCCCATGACAAGATTTCGGCTCGGCAATTGGTGAAGGGACATAACAAGTGACTGCCAGTGTTCACCGCCATATTAAGACCATCAATCATACACTTCTTGCAAATGCGGTCGCCACAATTGGAGATTTGGACGAAGTCTGAAGGTGGCAAATCTTCGTAACACACCGGACAACTCACTGAATTTTGACTCTCAAAAATGGACTTTTCGGAGAGAACGGCGTGTTCTAAAATCACTTTTTGTTTCTCAGAAATTGGTATTGGAAATGGAGGCAAATTTTGAATGACTAAATGGTCGTGGGGGAAGTCGGTGATGGTCGTATAAAGTGCAAGAAAGAGCCCTGAACTGTCATACTGTGAAAATTGCTCTTCAACACTCGTTGTGATATCAATCAAATTTTGAAGGGAAAGCCATATCCCTTGGATTTGAAAAACAGGGCGTAAATTGACATATGAAACTAAAACTTGGACATCGGGCAAGTCATTGATTACGACTGTTTGTTTGTTCATATATCGTCTTGGAACATCAAGTGATGAAGGAAGAAGTGTTACTTCTGTCTCGCTTGAAGAGATTGGAATCGTCAAAAGAAATTCATTTGGTCGGATTTCTTTGACACTAGATGGATAGATGGAATTCATGATTTCACACTCTTCAATGGCATTTTGATTTGTTTCGGTTAATTGTTGTTGCATGAAATTTGTTTTTTAGTTTGTTTTTATTTAATTGATTTATTTATATTAGAGTTTCAGGATTGAAGCTTGACCAAAAAAAGAATTTACTACATCTATTTTATAAAATTTATTTATTAATTATACTTTACATTTTCATGTGTCAAGTATCATTTTATATATCAACTCTTCCAATACCATAAATATGATTGATATAACACATATATAGATGATTATAAACTCAATTTAGTAAAATGAAAGTGATTTGAATTAAGATAATATTTGGTTTTATTATTATTTTTAAGTTATGGTTTGATGTAACATTTAAATATATAAAAAGTTGGCATATTTTTTGTATGTTTTACAAATTATTAATTTAACACCTTTTAATCATACAAATTATTTATTTCATTGTAATAAATATATCATATTGAATTGTTTTAGATAATTCTCCTGTTAAGATGTAAAATGGTGATGTTGTTTATATACATTTGTTTTTTGTGTGTTGTTAAAAGAAGTTAATTAAAACGATAATTAAGAAAACTAAATATTGTATCAATATATCTCTTATAAATATGATTCTCCACATAAAGTTGTTAAACGAGAACGCTAAACATCAGTGTGGTTGCACATACAATATAATAGTATTTTATTGTTTGTTATAAATATTAAAATTCAATAAAATGTCAACTTTTTTACACGATAGTTACAAAACATTAAAACATTTACAACGAAAACTAAATCAAAATAATTCTATTTAGAATTTTTGAAGTATGACGTTTTTCTTGTTTTTCTATGTAAAAAATCTTATTCGAATTATATTTGATACTTTTTCTTATTTTAAAACCCTGTTTTTAGAAAGGCTTATTTTGTATAGTTTATTATACTATACACAAATTTTTGGAATAAAACAATATTATTTATTTAACAAATAGTTTACATGTAATTATCAACAAAAATCATTTTTTAAATATGTTATAATCGAAATAGTTACACAATAAAATTGATAACTATTTGCTTTTTGGTTTCAACATTTGTTATGTTAAAACATATAAGTCACAATAACAATTAATTAATTTAATATTGTAAACAACTAATATTATACCTCAAATTAAATTCAACATATAAATTTGTATAAAAGTTGTTATTTATATATTGTTTGTTAATTCAAACTTTTAATTCTGTTGATAACTTTGTTTATGTGAATAATTGAAAAGGCTATTTGTATAAAGTTTAAAACATAATAACAATTTTATTATATAATACCTATAGCCAATTTAACCATATGTCAATTTAAAAAATAACCACAGTAAAACCTTTCAAAAATGACTAACATATAATACTTATCAAAAATATCGACATGGTATAAAAGTTGAAATGTACATTTACACTTTGATATATTGGAAGATAAATGTCGAAAAATAATTACTACAACTAGTAAAAACTAAATAAAGCGTTTTTATCAATTCATATGGTGCCTTCCATTTTTAATATGACTTTGATTTTGTATCTGAATTGAATTTATCACCATTGAACATCATCTTAGATGTTTTTAAAATCTGAAATGTCGTTTTATTTTTTTTAGAAATGAAAAAATGAATAACAAAAGTATTTTGTTTTTTTAATTTTCAGTTCTAACACAAATTCTTTTACAAATTTGTTGATTTTTTATTTTTTTTGAAAAACATCCTGGTTTAAAAGACCCCGCAGTGAAATGTGAATATCATAATTTCAATAAGAATTAATATCTATAAATGAATTTTAATTTGGTTCCATATTGATAGAAATGTTAAAAATAATAATAATAATATAATAATAATACAATAAAACTAATTATAAATAATTGTTTATTATAAAATATTGTTACTAATATTGAGTGGCAACTTTTTGTTTATTTTAACTTCAAATTCGAAAAATAAAATAAATTTTGAAAAACCTGAATTTTGATTCATTAAAAAACTATTAAATCGAACTTTAAATACAAATAAACCAAATGAATAAGTTTTTGGACCGCTACTCAATGATGATTGTTTCAAAATATTTTGTGTGTTTAAACGACTTCAAAAACCTGATTTTAGTTTGCAAGAAGTTTAACGAAATTCCATTGATGTTTCACTTCAATCCAATTCAATGGAAACCAAAGATGAAAAAATATTTTAAAAATGTTGAAACGCTACACTTATATAGCAGACACGACAAATTTGTTCCTGGATTTTATCAGTATTATGTGCATTACCCCACAGAACTCACAAAATCCAAAAAGTTAAACAAAAAGATGAAAGTGATATGTCCACATATCACATTTTCTTCTCGTGATTTACAAAATGGTTTTTCATATAAGGAAGCCTCTATATTATTGCCGAATGCATTTGGATCAAAGTTGAATATATTTACTGAGTTGGAGTGTTCCAATATTTCCAAATTATCAGTGAGGACTTTTACAAACAATAAAATGTTAAACTTAATAACACTTTCAAATCATATACAAACCATACCTGATTTGTGTTTTGAGGGGTGCGCCTCACTTAAAGAAATCAATTTAGAACACGTCAGTGAATTTGGAACAAAGTGCTTTATAGGGTGTGACAGCCTCTCTGCGATCACTTTTTGCTCGAATTTGAAAAAATGTGGAAGATACCCATTTTATGACGTGTTATCTATTCAACACGTGACAGCATCTTCTTCAAATACTAAAAGTGTTGAATTGGAATTAAACGCGTCATGTTCAAGTGTATTTTCTAATATCAGGAAAACATTATTTATCACACAAAGTGATGTTGGAAGAGGGTTTTCGATTGACTGTGAAGTTACTGAAATTTGTGAAGCCGCCTTCTTGGGAATGAAAAATTTGAGTGATAAAAGCATTGCACCAACTATCAAAATAATTCGCAAAAACGCATTTTCTTATAGTGATTTAAAGGTACTTGATTTGTCAAACGTGGAGGTTTTTGAAGAACAAGAGAACCTAAAAACGTTAACCGCTCTCACAATGAATTCGACTATCACTTTCAACAATTTGTATCGGTGCAATTCGTTACAATCAATTGAGGTGGTTGGTACTAAATTTGTGAAAGGCAAAGCTGCGTGTTGGATGAAGACTTTATTTGACAAAAAGAATATAGAAGTCGAGGAGTATATGTATTCTTGTAAAGATTGTGAGTTATTTAACGGGATATTACCATTTAATATCACAAATTTAAAAACAATAGAAAAGGATGTAAGATTAAAAGATTTGGAAATTGAAACTTATAAAGTCCCAGATAGTGTGACTACAATATATGCCGAGAATTTCAGAATGTGTAAAAACATCAAAAAATTACTTTTACCAAAATGTCTACAAACAAGTTTTAATTTTACATCACTAACAACAATAAAAGAAGCGGCCTTACCTTATATAACCAATAATAAATATAATATTTACTCAAGTGGGCAATTAACATCAATTACTTTTCTTGACGACGACATGTTGAATAATAAACGGATAAACGAATCGAAGTTTAAAAATCTAAAAAACATTGAATTTGCACATTTACCAAAAAATAATATTTATTGTAAAAATGTGGATTATAATTTTTATAATTTACTAAAAACAAAATACAAAATTGAAGGAGACGTTGTCTTGTATTATCTTGAAAACTGGAATTATGAAAAGGGAATTTATATTATTCCAGACGAAGTAACTATTGTTAATAGCTATGTCTTGTACAATAATGATAATTTGAAAGAGATATGGGTTGGTAGAAACACAAAGTTGATCAAAGAATATGCATTTTGTGATTGTAAAAATCTAGTGTTGGTTAAAAACTTAAAGAAGTCAATGACTATTGAAAAGTTTGCATTTGGAAAATCCAATCCAAAATTAGAATTTGATGACAATAATCCAGTTAAAAAGGCTGAAAAACTGATGTTCTAAAATAATGGTAGTTTTATCGTGGGTTGTTTTGTTTATTCAGGGTCGGCCAAACGATCATGCAATTGAAAAAAACTTTAAAATGGTAAATTGAATAGTTTCTTTAAGTTTTTTTGAAAAATAAAAAATAAATGACAAATGGGTTTTATTAAAAAAATATATTAAATAATTTTTTATATTAAAAATTATAATATTATTTGTATAGTTTTTAAATAAATAATATATTACTATAAAGAATAATATACAATTGTATTATCGAGTAAATATAGTAGTTATATG